TACTGAAGACCCTATCTTCGATGGTTCCCATATAAAAATTAGCAAATAAAACTCCTAAGGGGGAGGCCATTGCTACTCCATTGAATATGCGGTCATATTCAATGAAACATGTTTGAAAGAAAACCTGCTGCCAGTATACACCAATATATATATATATATATATATATATATATATATATATATATATATATATATATATATATATATATATATATATATATATATATATATATATATATATATATATATATATATATATATATATATATATGTATGTATGTATGTATGTATGTATGTGTGTATACAGAATATGTGGAAGCTGGTCAGAATTGCATTTCCCCTTTGTAATTGCACATTAATGACACTATGTAAAAGACACGTGAAACACTTTATGAAGGGCAGACTATGTATTTTATCTATGTATTTATGTATGTAGGTTAGATTAGCATTTCAATCACCTTCAGTAGTTGATTGTTAAATGAATCCCTGAACTACATGTTTAACAGATCTCTCACCCTCTTGCAGGGGCCTCGTAGCCTGGTGGATAGCGCGCAAGGCTCGTAATTCTGTGGCGCGGGTTCGATTCCCGCACGAGGCAGAAACAAATGGGCAAAGTTTCTTTCACCCTGAATGCCCCTGTTACCTTGCAGTAAAATAGGTACCTGGGTGTTAGTCAGCTGTCACGGGCTGCTTCCTGGGGGTGGAGGCCTGGTCGAGGACCGGGCCGCGGGGACACTAAAACCCCGAAATCATCTCAAGATAACCTCAAGATAACCCTGTCCATGGAGGACAGAAGAAAATGTATATGTGTTGGTTAGCATTGTAAATGTGTGGCCACATCTGTGGTAGAAAAAAAGTATGTGTTAGGATAGGGTGAACAATTTCTGCTCTTAAAAGTCAAGAGTCCATTTTTGTGTCATACTGGGTGAGTGACTTTACTGAAAAATTCAGCCAGATTGATCAAGCATTTACGCCTCTACTTATGTAACCTGTACATCTTCCTTAATCTTGGCAGCTTTCTTTACGTTTATTATTCAGTTTATGAGATACGAAACTTCACAACCCTTGGTTATGAGTTATACAACCTCGTAGTGTTCGGATCGCATAAACCGTTAAATAAAAGTCAACAAAGCCGCAATGACTGAGGAAAGATGGAGAGGTTTCGTAAGGGGGTTGCGTATTGGTTAACGAGTCGTATTCCTTTGTGGTAAGAGAGAGAGGAAGTCCGCCCTTACACTTATGGCGTCTGAAGCAAGTTTAACATTCTTGTTCTATATTCAGGAGCTGCCTGTAAAGCAGGATGATGTAGGGTGCTTCAGGGTAACGAAGAATGTTGTAGGATGATATGGGATGAGTCAGGATGAAGAAGAACTATTCAGAGTGTCGTAGAATGAAAAATGTGAGTGGTATAGTGAGGAAGGGTGAATCAAAATGATGTAGGGTGAAGCAGAATGATGTAGGGTGAAGCAGAATGATGTAGGGTGAAGCAGAATGAAGTAGGGTGAAGCAGAATGAAGTAGGGTGAAGCAGAATGATGTACAGTTAAGCAGAATGATGAAGGTTGAAGCCGAATGATGCAGAGTGACGAGGTGTGATGTTAGGTGATGAAGGGAGATATTGGATAATAAAGAGTGATAGAGGGTGACGTAAGGTGGTGAATAATGATGCAGAGTGATAAAGGGGACTACATAGGGTGACACAGGGTGACATAGGGTGACACAAGGTGACACAGGGTGACGCAGGGTGACACAGGGTGACACAGGGTGACACAAGGTGACACAGGGTGACACAGGGTGACACAAGGTGGCCCAGGGTGACACAGGGTGACTAAGAGTGACACAGGGTGACACAGGGTGACACAGGGTGACACAGGGTGACACAAGGTGACCCAGGGTGACACAGGGTGACACAGGGTGACACAGGGTGACACAGGGTGACACAGGGTGACACAGGGTGACTAAGAGTGACACAGGGTGACACAGGGTGACACAGGGTGACACAAGGTGACCCAGGGTGACACAGGGTGACACAGGGTGACACAGGGTGACACAGGGTGACACAGAGTGACACACGGTGACACAGGGTGAAGACAGAGCAGCAGCAACACAGGTATACGTCAGTGTAGGGAAGAAGTCTGGGCGGTGCTCGACACCTGAGGTGAAGGGTATTGATGATCAGTAGAGTTTGGTGCCACATATCCTCGTAGGTCACGGGGGCCTCGGGCACGTGCCAGACACGTCACGGGGGCCTCGGACACGTGCCAGACACGTCACGGGGGCCTCGGACACGTGCCAGGTACGTCACGGGGGCCTCGGACACGTGCCAGACACGTCACGGGGGCCTCGGACACGTGCCAGACACGTCACGGGGGCCTCGGACACGTGCCAGGTACGTCACGGGGGCCTCGGACACGTGCCAGGTACGTCACGGGGGCCTCGGACACGTGCCAGACACGTCACGGGGGCCTCGGACACGTGCCAGGTACGTCACGGGGGCCTCGGACACGTGCCAGGTACGTCACGGGGGCCTCGGACACGTGCCAGACACGTCACGGGGGCCTCGGACACGTGCCAGGTACGTCACGGGGGCCTCGGACACGTGCCAGACACGTCACGGGGGCCTCGGACACGTGCCAGACACGTCACGGGGGCCTCGGACACGTGCCAGACACGTCACGGGGGCCTCGGACACGTGCCAGGTACGTCACGGGGGCCTCGGACACGTGCCAGACACGTCACGGGGGCCTCGGACACGTGCCAGGTACGTCACGGGGGCCTCGGACACGTGCCAGGTACGTCACGGGGGCCTCGGACACGTGCCAGGTACGTCACGTGGGCCTCGGACACGTGCCAGGTACGTCACGGGGGCCTCGGACACGTGCCAGGAACGTCACGGGGGCCTCGGACACGTGCCAGGTACGTCACGGGGGCCTAGGACACGTGCCAGGTACGTCACGGGGGCCTCGGACACGTGCCAGGTACGTCACGGGGGCCTCGGACACGTGCCAGGTACGTCACGGGGGCCTCGGACATGTGCCAGGTACGTCACATAAATCTGAAACACGTGCGCCAGGTACGTCACGGGGGTCTGGAACACGTGCGCCAGGTACGTCACGGGGGTCTGGAACACGTGCCAGGTACGTCACGGGGGTCTGGAACACGTGCCAGGTACGTCACGGGGGTCTGGAACACGTGCCAGGTACGTCACGGGGGTCTGGAACACGTGCCAGGTACGTCACGGGGGTCTGGAACACTTGCCAGGTACGTCACGGGGGTCTGGAACACGTGCCAGGTACGTCACGGGGGTCTTGAACACGTGCCAGGTACGTCACGGGGTCTGGAACACGTGCCAGGCACGTCACGGGGGTCTAGAACACGTGCCAGGTACGTCACGGTGGTCTAGAACACGTGCCAGGTACGTCACGGGGGTCTGGAACACGTGCCAGGTACGTCACGGGGGTCTGAAACACGTGCCAGGTACGTCACGGGATCTAGAACACGTGCCAGGTACGTCACGGGGGTCTGGAACACGTGCCAGGTACGTCACGGGGGTCTGGAACACGTGCCAGGTACGTCACGGGGGTCTGGAACACGTGCCAGGTACGTCACGATGGTCTGGAACACGTGCCAGGTACGTCATGGGGGTCTAGAACACGTGCCAGGTACGTCACGGGGGTCTGGAACACGTGTCACGTACGTCACGGGGTCTGGAACACGTACCAGGCACGTTACGGGGGTCTAGAACACGTGCCAGGTACGTCACGGGGTCTGGAACACGTGGCAGGTACGTCACGGGGGGTCTAGAACACGTGCCAGGTACGTCACGGGGTCTGGAACACGTGCCAGGTACGTCACGAGGGTCTGGAACACGTGCCAGGCACGTCACGGGGGGTCTAGAACACGTGCCAGGTACGTCACGGTGGTCTAGAACACGTGCCAGGTACGTCACGGGGGTCTGGAACACGTGCCAGGTACGTCACGTGGGTCTGAAACACGTGCCAGGTACGTCACGGGATCTAGAACACGTGCCAGGTACGTCACGGGGGTCTGGAACACGTCCCAGGTACGTAACGGGGGTCTGGAACACGTGCCAGGTAAGTCACGGGGGTCTGGAACACGTGCCAGGTACGTCACGATGGTCTGGAACACGTGCCAGGTACGTCATGGGGGTCTAGAACACGTGCCAGGTACGTCACGGGGGTCTGGAACACGTGTCACGTACGTCACGGGGTCTGGAACACGTACCAGGCACGTCACGGGGGTCTAGAACACGTGCCAGGTACGTCACGGGGTCTGGAACACGTGGCAGGTACGTCACGGGGGGTCTAGAACACGTGCCAGGTACGTCACGGGGTCTGGAACACGTGCCAGGTACGTCACGAGGGTCTGGAACACGTGCCAGGCACGTCACGGGGGGTCTAGAACACGTGCCAGGTACGTCACGGGGTCTGGAACACGTGGCAGGTACGTCACGGGGGTCTGGAACACGTGCCAGGTACGTCACGAGGGTCTGGAACACGTGCCAGGTACATCACGGGGGGTCTAGAACACGTGCCAGGTACGTCACAGGGTCTGGAACACGTGTGTCAGGCACGTCACGGGGGTCTAGAACACGTGCCAGGTACGTCACGGGGGTCTGGAACACGTGCCAGGTACGTCACGGTGGTCTAGAACACGTGCCAGGTACGTCACGGGGGTCTGGAACACGTGCCAGGTACGTCACGGGGTCTGGAACACGTGCCAGGCACGTCACGGCGATCTAGAACACGTGCCAGGTACGTCACGGTGGTCTAGAACACGTGCCAGGTACGTCACGGGGGTCTGGAACACGTGCCAGGTACGTCACGGGGGTCTGGAACACGTGCCAGGTACGTCACGGGGGTCTGAAACACGTGCCAGGTACGTCACGGGATCTAGAACACGTGCCAGGTACGTCACGGGGGTCTGGAACACGTGCCAGGTACGTCACGGGGGTCTGGAACACGTGCCAGGTACGTCACGATGGTCTGGAACACGTGCCAGGTACGTCATGGGGGTCTAGAACACGTGCCAGGTACGTCACGGGGGTCTGGAACACGTGTCAGGTACGTCACGGGGTCTGGATCACGTGCCAGGCACGTCACGGCGTTCTAGAACACGTGCCAGGTACGTCACGGGGTCTGGAACACGTGGCAGGTACGTCACGGGGGGTCTAGAACACGTGCCAGGTACGTCACGGGGTCTGGAACACGTGCCAGGTACGTCACGAGGGTCTGGAACACGTGCCAGGCACGTCACGGGGGGTCTAGAACACGTGCCAGGTACGTCACGGGGTCTGGAACACGTGGCAGGTACGTCACGGGGGTCTGGAACACGTGCCAGGTACGTCACGAGGGTCTGGAACACGTGCCAGGTACATCACGGGGGGTCTAGAACACGTGCCAGGTACGTCACGGGGTCTGGAACACGTGTGTCAGGCACGTCACGGGGGTCTAGAACACGTGCCAGGTACGTCACGGGGGTCTGGAACACGTGCCAGGTACATCACGGGGGGTCTAGAACACGTGCCAGGTACGTCACGGGGTCTGGAACACGTGTGTCAGGCACGTCACGGGGGTCTAGAACACGTGCCAGGTACGTCACGGGGTCTGGAACACGTGGCAGGTACGTCACGGGGGTCTGGAACACGTGCCAGGTACGTCACGAGGGTCTGGAACACGTGCCAGGTACATCACGGGGGGTCTAGAACACGTGCCAGGTACGTCACGGGATCTAGAACACGTGCCAGGTATGTCACGGGGGTCTGGAACACGTGCCATGTACGTCACGGGGGTTTGGAACACGTGCCAGGTACGTCACGAGGGTCTGGAACACGTGCCAGGTACGTCACGGGGGTCTGGAATACGTGCCAGGTACGTCACGGGGGTCTGGAACACGTGCCAGGCACGTCACGGGGTCTAGAACACGTGTGCCGGACACGTCACACGTGTGGGCAATACGTGTGCAACACGTGTGCCGGACACGTCACACGTGTGGGCAATACGTGTGCAACACGTGTGCAAAACACGTCCAAGCTGCCTCGGACATGTGTGCTAGGCACGTCATAATGGCTCCGAACACGTATGGCGGGCACGTCACAAGGTGGCCCCCGGACACGTCTGCTTGACATGTCACAGCGGCCTCGGACACGTATGATAGTCACGCTAAGGGGGGTCTGAAACACGTGTGCCAGGCACGTCACGGGGTCTGGAACACGTGTGTCAGGCACGTCACGGGGTCTGGAACACGTGTGTCAGGCACGTCACAGGGGTCTGGAACACGTGCCAGGCACGTCACGGGGTCTGGAACACGTGTGTCAGGCACGTCACGGGGTCTGGAACACGTGTGTCAGGCACGTCACAGGGGTCTGGAACACGTGCCAGGCACGTCACGGGGTCTGGAACACGTGTGTCAGGCACGTCACGGGGTCTGGAACACGTGTGTCAGGCACGTCACAGGGGTCTGGAACACGTGCCAGGCACGTCACGGGGTCTGGAACACGTGTGTCAGGCACGTCACGGGGTCTGGAACACGTGTGTCAGGCACGTCACGGGGTCTGGAACACGTGTGTCAGGCACGTCACGGGGTCTGGAACACGTGTGTCAGGCACGTCACGGGGTCTGGAACACGTGTGTCAGGCACGTCACGGGGTCTGGAAGACGTGTGTCAGGCACGTCACGGGGGTCTGGAACACGTGCCAGGTACGTCACGTGGGCCTGGATCACGTGTCAGGGACGTCACGAGGTCTGGACCACGTGTGCCAGACACGGAACGGGGTCTAGAACACGTGCCAGGCATGTTAGCTGGACGTCTATCTCATATATCTAACAATGCTATTGAGAGAAGCGCATATACTCACTCTCGTTGACGCTGATCATTTAACATTAGTGTAACTTAGAGCAATTTCCCTGGGGGGGGGGGGGGGATACGCTCGTAAAAAAATCATCATTGGCTTAGAAGTGTTGTGTGGGTGAAGGTGTGGGAGTTATCTCCTGTCTCTCTCTGTGATCCCTGACAAGTGTTGAGATGTCCTTGGGGTAGGCAAGACGTCTTGTAAATTGGCCAGTGACAAGGTTTAAAGCTTACTTAGCCCGTGACATTCGCCGTGGTCCCGTGTGTTTATCTTGGCAAGCTTGGCGTAGCGCCGGGTCGGGCCTCTAACACTGATCACTCAGACCAGCAGGTGTAATGTTAAGACACTCCTCCTGGCTTGGTGTGGAAACCCAGTGTCTGTCTTAACTGAAATAGAAGCCAAGACAAGTTCACAGTCAACCATCTGAATCACCCTAATCGTTACTCGAGTTACGGCAGCCAATCGGCTGGAACTTCACATATCTCGCTGGCCAATCAGCAGGAGTCAGACTGGGCTGGGTGAAAAGGCTCCGCCCATTTTCGTGGTTTGAGCCGTGTGAGTGGCTACTCGTGCCGCGAGTCCCATTATATTGGTTCCTGGGGAGAATATCGGGAGGAGTCTTTTAAGGGTTGTGAAGAGACGTCCAAGTACGAGTGCCAGCCATTAATCAGTTTAAAGCCAGACCTTGAGTGCGTAAGACGTTATTCCTCGGCGGGATTCGAAGAAGATCCGAGAGAGGGCGTATTTGACGCACTGTAACAAGCATCGAAAATTTATTAAAAGTGAATTTGGTGATTAACAACTACATACCGACAGGTGAGTTTCATTGCCAGAGAAAGAGAGGCACATAATGGGTTCAGGAACTGACCCCTATAGTTCGGTTAGCTAAGCAAGTGACAATCTTGTGAAGCTAGTTACGCAATTGTTAATGTTACATACACACACACATATATATAATATATGTACAATCATTTACACAAATGCATATACATATTAATATTCTTTTTATATCAAAAGTGATTCAACAAGAGGCTCACAACAGTCACTATACTACTCACTTTACATTTATGGTGAGTCACAGTTTGCTCCACACCCACACAAATAGGCAGCAGCTTTACAGTCGTGTGCAGGCTGCACCTACACTCATGTGCAGGCTGCACCTACAGTCGTGTGCAGGCTGCACCTACAGTCATGTGCAGGCTGCACCTACACTCATGTGCAGGCTGCACCTACAGTCGTGTGCAGGCTGCACCTACAGTCATGTGCAGGCTGCACCTACAGTCGTGTGCAGGCTGCACCTACAGTCGTGTGCAGGCTGCACCTACAGTCATGTGCAGGCTGCACCTACACTCATGTGCAGGCTGCACCTACAGTCGTGTGCAGGCTGCACCTACAGTCATGTGCAGGCTGCACCTACAGTCGTGTGCAGGCTGCACCTACAGTCGTGTGCAGGCTGCACCTACACTCATGTGCAGGCTGCACCTACAGTCGTGTGCAGGCTGCACCTACAGTCATGTGCAGGCTGCACCTACAGTCGTGTGCAGGCTGCACCTACAGTAAGCAAGCTTTGGATACTTGGCTAAGATTCCCGGCAGTACATCATTATGAATGAAGTACTTACACATTTCTTGGACTCTATTGATGGTGTTGATCTCTGAATTTCGCTTTTTTTTTTTTTTTTACATTCCATTATATAATGAGGCACGTGGAATGGATGAGTATGTATGAGAATAGTCCGGCTGACGAGTTTACACTTGGTCAACTCTACATCAGCAGATGACTAATATTTAGGGATCATATCAAGGTGATGAGCAGCGTTGTGCTACACAACAAGGTGTACACGACTGTTATGAACGGGGTTGCGAGGCTGTGATCCCATAACTTGTCTACATTGTTTACTTTTCTCTTCATCCATGCACAAGCATTGTTGCAAACGTTTCCACGTGTTTCCTTCTGTACTTCACGAGGCACAGATTCGTTGGCGACACTGCGAAATGTAGGGCTGGTCTCACATAGGTTGCATAAATTTGCTTGAGAGAGAGACCTTACTGATGTAGACTATTCATCTACCGATCTGTGTAGTCTACATGGGGAACTTCCCGCATCAACACACTCAATTTCTAAAATATTTTGCTTCCTGCGATTATGGGCACAATCTTTTACATTAACTATGTAGGCCTACACTGCTAATTATTCACACAGATTGGACATAATCTCTCATGTTTAGTGTTAATTAATTAGTCATAAGTAAACGTAGCCTGCTCAATGTGTCGTCGAGTTCACTCAGTAATATTATTATTAATGATCTATGTAAAATTAATCAGTTATAAACTTGATGAATCACGATTCATAATCCCAATGAAAATTAAACGAATGTTGACATGTATGACGAGGGTTTAAGGAAAGCTGTGACGGATTAATTTAAAACTAAGTTTGCTCATGTTGTGACACATACAGACACAGACATGTACACACATGTTGTGACACATACAGACACAGACATGTGCACACATTGACACACACACGCAAATACTCATGGGGATTGAGAGAGTGGAAATAAGCGTTATGTTTACACTGAATACCTACAGAAGAAGAAGGGGACATGGGTGGAAGCTGAAATCTCATATGAAACAGCTTCCAGCTGTTATATATATATATATATATATATATATATATATATATATATATATATATATATATATATATATATATATATATATATATACTCTGATTGTGTTTGTAGGGACCCTAAACCTCGAAGAAGAGGATCTGCAGCACCCGGGAAGCCTTGGGCTCCCATGTGCGTCCGACAATTAAACAAGGATCAAACTGATAGTTATGTTTGCCTAATCAGAAGCGTAAGCATTTAATTAACCCAAGTAACCTATCAAGGAACATCCAGAAACAGCTTGCCAGTCCGAGGTGAAACGTCAGTATTGCCGGGATTTTAATTTCCCAAGTGCCCTGGGAATTTGACGTAGTGTTGATATATAATCAGTCGCTTTAATAAACTGCTACCTTATTCACTCTTGTGTTGATGATATCCTCAAAATGCATCCGGAGTCTGCCAGTGCAGACTGCCTGTCACATGCCTCTGTATGACTAACTATCCTGTGTGATGGGGATTTTTTAGCATCACTTAGTTAGCTTTTTTGATACACTGTACTCCACTTCATATAGTCTAGGGTAGCTGCACAAATGCAGATGTACCTCATGTATTAATAAAAATAAATTAATAAAGTTTCGCCTCCACACACATTGACAACACTTTGTGTTCTACACAATTTTTCACTATTTTCTGATAGAAGAAGTTTCTGTCTTGCGTAAATAACATTCTAAGTATTCTGTTTACGTCTTTCATGCTGTTCTTCTTTCATGCTGAACGTCATTCATGCTGTGCTTCTTTCATGCTGTGCTTCCTTCGTGCTGTGCTTCTTTCATGCTGTGCTTCTTTCATGCTGTGCTTCCGTCAAGTTGTGCTTCTTTCATGCTGTTTCATTCATTCTCTGCTTCCTTCATGCTGTGCTTCCTTCATGCACTTATTCAAGCAGTACTCCTGAGACTGATGGATGCCTACTACTTTCTTTATGCTGTTATGCTTTACTACATCAGGCTGTATTTTCTTCATATTATATTTCCTTCATACTAAACTTCATTCATTATACTTCCTGCAGGCTGTACTTTCTTCGTGTTTTACTTAATTCATGGTCTCCATTTTTCATACTCTACTTTCCTCATTCCTTCATTTTAAATTTTTTTTTCTCTCTGTGTCTATCTCTGTTTCTGTCTCTGTCTCTCTTATAAATGGCCTCGGTCTCTCTGTTTCTGCCTCTGTCTCTCTGTTTCTGGAGAGAAACAGAGACAGCTTCGAACCCTCATCACGGCCCTTGTGGATTTGTTCAAGGTTGCATGGTTTTTCATCATGTTGTGGTGCAGTGGTTTAAGGCGTGTGCTTGGGAGTACCCAGTGTGCAGGTTTGAATCCTTCTCATGGCTCTTTCTGATTTTCTCGTTGATATATCATGTCAATGTGATTTCTTTGCGCAATAACAAAAAATAATAATTATCATATACAAGAAAAAAATCTTACATTCTTGTAAAGCCACTAGCACGCATAGCGTTTCGGGCAAGTCTTTAATCATAATTTTCCCTGGAATACGACCCACCAAATGCTACAGAAAACTGCAAACAATCTTGTTCCAGCTTCAACAGAAAACTATAAACTATATCTAGTTTTGGCTTTCCACGTAGAAAATTAACTAACAGCTCATATTAAAAAATGTTGATATTAAGATAATGAGTAAAATAATTATATTCAAACAAAGATCAATAATCGCTGACCTGATAAATAAGGAAACACGTCATATGAAGTAAGAATTAGTCGCTGGAGCACTTTCAATCTTCTCAGATCATTGGCAACAGCTTGACGATGACCTGAGAAAGTCTAAAGCGCTCCAGCAATTAATTCCTACTTCATATGTGGTTATTTCTCATAATAATTATTTAAAGTCAAATACAGTTTAGATTATACATCTAGTGAAAAATAAACTTAATGTATCCAGTTAAATGCCGTTGATCCATACTCTCCAACACAGAAGACATTAGAAATTCTGGAATTTCATCAAAATGCATAATATCTTCTTAGCTTCAATATAGCTTTCGTTCCCTCAAGAGATTATGAGGAGAAAGATCTAATCCAGTATGTCTACATATTATATGGAAGGGATATGTGAACAAGGAACTCGCATATGAGAACTATCATAAGAAATGATGCCCAACGACTTGTACAATCGGGGATCAAACGGCGACCAGCATGAAGCGAAGTCGCCGCTGTACCCACCAGTCCAAGTGACCTGAGCCAAGGGCAGCTATCAGATGTGCCGACCTCTGCACGAACATAACAGTATCGACGCGCGCACAATCCTAAATAAACTAAATTCCGGAAACTCATTTTGCCACCAAACTGCTGACCAAATTATACGGTTTAAAACAGTTTAATCTTGTCGCTAATGACTAACAAATGACAGTAATAGTATTCTGGAAATTATAGGTATTAACATCACCTTTACAAAAACTAATTAATATTTAGGCGAAGGCTTGGAGAACATTCTTATATATAATTATACAGAAAAAAGTGCAGTTCTAACTTGTTTTGAGGAATTGTTTGGATTATCTCTGATAGGAAAAGTAATAATATTAATAATATATTACTGATATTAATAATTATTCCAGTCTTGAAACTTTAACTGCTCTACTGCAAGAAACTACTTAGATTCTCCTAATATTGATAATTTTAGTACTAGTGCATCAACTACTTCTACAGCTATTATTACTACTACTATTGCTACTGCTATTAACACTACTACTATTACTATTACTACTGCTGCTGTTATTACCACTACTACTAGCACTATTAGTACTGCTACTACTACTGTTATTACCGCTACTACTATTACTACTACCGCTATTACCACTATTACTATTACTACTACGGCTATTATTAATACTTCTATTACTACTACTGCTGCTATTACCACTACTTCTAATACTACTACTTCTATTACTACTACTTTTAATACTACTACTATTACCACTACTACTGTTGTTCACTAATACTGCTACTATTACTACTGCTACTACTACTGTTGTTCACTAATACTACTACTATTACCACTACTACTGTTGTTCACTAATACTACTACTATTACTACTGCTACTACTACTGTTGTTCACTAATACTACTACTATTACTACTACTACTGTTGTTCACTAATACTACTACTATTACTACTACTACTGTTGTTCACTAATACTACT